TCCTTCCTTCCCACCCCGTGCGTCAGTGTCATGTCTACCACGTCTGTCTTACTGTCCTCAGTCTTCTGCTATGCTCAGTCTTTACTCTTACCAAATATTGTGGAAGTCAAAACCATTTAGTAAGACGTGGTAACAACCTGCCTTAATATTTGCTTTCAAGTAAAGCAGAGAGATGGCAAGCATTAGCTAATACAAAAGGCTTTCCTTCCAGTAAATGGTAATAATGTTAGAGCTCCAGAAACATCTAAGCTTTGACTTAAGCTTAAAAAGCATCCCAGTGAAAGAGCAATAGGCAGAGACTACTTGAGAAACTGAAATACTGGCATTTAATGACAATAGGAGCTTGAAGAAGGGAATAAGGAAACTTTGTCTCATCAGACAATTACTTTACATGCTCTCTCGATTCTATAATCTTCTATGCATCATACTATTCCTAGAATTGCTAAATAGACTTGTCACTTCCCCATGGACGTATATCTTTCTCAATATGTTGTAACTACTATTAGTGTTTACAATTGGGAATAGCAAGCCAATAAACCCACAAACCATGGGAACCAAGGGAAGAATGAATGTTTATCATTTATGGTAAGGAACTCAACAGTATGCTTTACTGAGTGAAAGTTCTTGATACTACGACATTTGTAAAAATCTAGCACGATTCTTTACAGGGTCAGGACTTCAGACCTACATGGGTGTTTCTTATTTTTACCTAAGAACAAGTTTTTTACTGCCACTGCTCATTAGAAGGCTGAAGATAACCGCATCCATCATATATGCCCATTCATCTGCATCAAAACATCTCATGCCATACTCAAAAGTGGTGGACAACTTTTGTCAGGTATTTGATATGAGACACTACAATTTAGTATTTCAAGTTCATCTGTAGACAGATTCTCAGAGTCTACATCAATGAATAAAATGTGAAAACTTACAGAGTTGGTGGTAACCTTACACATCACAATCTGTATCTTTCTGACATTTGCAAACCTCTTTGTCTTCTTAGACACTGTGAAATTAATGAGTTATGTCAAACACATATCATGTTCTCAGTGACAGAAACAATAAAATATTCTTTATGTAATATGAACAGAATGTCACTAAATGATTGCTTAGATTGTGAAAAAATTTGATCTGCATTCAGAGAAAAATCTAAATGGAGCACATAAAACCTATATAATCTAGATGATCTATTAATTGAATAACTCTGAATGTAGACTCATCAATATGAAATTCAGCTTGTGAGGCTGGGTTTAAATTGAGTACAAAAAACTGAGTTTATCAAGACTAAAAATTATATTTGTACTGTATTTGCAACGTAATTGCTAAAATAAAAGTTACATTCTGACGACAAATGCGACCCTAAATCCTCTAATTTCACATTTTTACTTTAGTACTTCCTGAATTTCTTAATTCTTTAATTCCCTCCAGCTCAAGAATGACTAATTAATTCGAAGAACCATAATAGCTAATCATTGGTTAAACAAATTTAAAAGGAGAATGTCTGTCCCTGGAGATACCATTGCTCATTTTAATTAAAATTACCATTTTGTGATGTAATGTAAATAAAGGTTATTGTATCCTTCTGCTTCAAGAACTTATTAACTCTTCTATCTACCCCTAGAGATCAGTCAAAGTTTAAACTGCCAAGAAAATTATTTGTGGCTTGTGAGATAATACTAGTGAATCGGGGGTTTTAATTCATTTTAACACATAGCCTGTATTATTTTATGAATGAATTCTGAAGCACTGTATGTCTAAAATGGTGGTGGACACAAACTGTTACCTTGTGAGAATAACGTCATCTGTGCTGTAGCTATCAAAAAAAAAAAAAGGTCATAAACATTAATGGGCAACGAATCGAGTGAAGTCTTCAAAACTGGTATTTTATTTCAACATAGAAATAAACATAGATAAATGTATATTATTTTTAGGAGCCAATCCTCCAACAACTGATGTGGTTGCTTATGTGGCCCAATAGGAATGATAAACCCTATTAATATGTAGAGAAAATAAACAGATAATTATTTCTTTCTCACATTATGAGCGGAGCAGCCAAGTTCTTCATGGGCAATTACAGTATTACAGATAAATAGGCATACATAGTCTTACTGACCTTTTGAAAGTATATATGTGCTGCATGTACCTCAGTAGATATCAAATACAAAATCAGGCTGCTGCCAGAGGTTACACAGCTGAAATTGTGTCTTGTCTGTATTTTTTTAAAACAAAGTATCTACGAAGTCGGCTATTATATTAGCTATCTCATTGTAAAAATCCTTATGAGGACAACACATTACAGTCTTCATCTCAAGACAAGGTCAACAATGCTGGGAATAGAAACGTAAATTCACCAAGCTAAGAACTATCTTGACCCTCTCTCCAATCAGATTTTGTAAATAATGCATGACTCTAAAATGCTGCTGCAAAACCATATCTCTTGGGGCAGTAGAATCATAGTTAAAAATACAGACTTCATTTCTGAAAAATATATGATTACTATTTTAACAGTTTACAGTTACCTACAAAAGTAAATTGAAACTTCCAGCTCAAGCATGTTGTAAATCACTGTAATACATGGCAGAACACTTATAACAAAAACAACACTTTATAAAAGACAGCAGCATTTCAAGTAATGAGAATATGGGGCGAAAAAAGCTACAATGACCAGGTTTGGCAATCTTGGCACAAACAAAATTACTATGTAAACAGAACTGAAGTCAAAAGCACGATTTGCCAAAGCTGCATGCTTGTTTTTTGTCAGTACACAGGTCTGGCCCACAATTTGAACCAGATAAGCTTGTTATGCAAATAATGTTAGCCATCAGGAAGGAGGCAGATAACGACATTATTCGAAAGCTAACCACTCATCACAAGGGTGACAGAAACATCAGGCAAGGTCCTAACATATGGATAAAAGGCAGTATGGAATTTATACAATCACTGCTTTTAATTTATCATAACGAAGCTGTCACAAGGTGGGCATCAACAAATGCATAACTAACACATACAAATGAGCCAATTATCAGTAATGGCTAAAAGGTTTGCAGTTTTATGATCCAATGTTTCATTATTTAATTTTTTCTAGAAAATCCACTAATGTAAATCCAAGCCTCCGTAAAAACGTCTTGTAACCTCAGCATCATAACAACTTTACCAACACATGCCTGTGAATGAAGCAATGTCACAGAGAATTCCATTTCAGTGTTCTCTTAAAGGTGGCTATAAAACCAATATATTTATTACAATTGTTGCATTTCTCCATGTTAAAAGACTGCATATGAGCACACTTCCTTACCCCATTGTGTGTAACTACTGTAAAAATGCAAAGCAAGATTTGAGAACCTGCAGATGTTGTTGGTGAGAGGAAGCAGTTAAGCAAAAGTAATTAAAAAATCAATGTGATTAAAAATATGCAATTTGAAGATATCAAAATCCCAAAGGACAAGGTTTAAAACATATATAGCCATATAGCACAGCCATAAAGTACTAACATCTGACTTCTTTTATGAACAGTGCATGCTGAACTAAAGGACTGATAAACGTTAAGAAAGGTTAAGCTTAGTCTTTTGTATTGTTCTCAAGCTCAGCAGGGACTTCTAAAAAGGAAGATACCATGAAAGAAAAATCTGTATAACAATGCTGAATGTTAATGCACAATGTTCCTGAGAAAGGAATGTAATCTTTCTTTCCAGGTGCACTGACTCTCTAAAACACAAGTGGAATATAACCCACTAGTGCTACAGTCCCCTAAAATATAGGCTACAGTCCATAGATACTGTAAAAATAATGTTTCTCTATAATACAGTGGAAATCATCCACCATCCAGTGACTTTCATAATTAAACACTGATTCTGCCATAGATCACAGTGTACACTGTTGGGCAAACAAGGACATGCATTACAGAAAAACAGAACTTGGGTCAATCTGCTCTAAAGGAATGTACTTTACTACCTACACTGGAAGAGATTCTGAGTTACATAATGACAGTGATGGTCTTCCTCTGTAGGCCAGCCATTACAGTGTACCTCACCTTCCTGCCTGATTAACGATCAGCATAATAAATAAGAATATTTTTCATGGATTATTAATAAAATTTGCATGAATCTAATTTTAACTTCTCCTAAAATGGGAAGACACTACTACCCAACTGACTGAAAAAGGTGTCAGGAAGGGATATTAGACTCCTCCACAAGTAACTAGATACATTAAGGAATAGAACAGATTAAAAATGCAGACGTGAGTATTTTCAAACCTATCTTGAAAAGCCAATACTGAGGAGTGATGTTCAAAGTACCTGGTTATTTGATTAGCGTAAACTCCCCAAGGGTTTGATAATATTATTCCCCATGTTACACTGTTTAGGCTGTGATAGGTCACAATGAAATCCTGAAGAACCCTAAAAATCACAAAAGTTGCTGTAAGATTTTTGAATACAACGCTAGCAACTACTAAATTGGGATTTCTTAGTTTAACTGTAAAAAGAAAAAAGTAAAGCAAAAGCACATTTTAGTGCAGAGGCAGCCACATCCAGAAAGCTGGTATCATCTAGGTAACACACTACACTCTTGGTACAACTGGTGCTCAGTTACATGTATTGTACTGAATATTAGTAAAGTGGAACAAGGCAACTTTTGTGTTTTTCAAAATTCTTATTTTAAATTGACCAGCAGTCATTTTCACTAGCCCTTTTTTTCTTCTGGACACAAAATTTCACTGCAAAACCATCACGGAAATCAGGTATATTTATAAACTTGTCCCAGGTCCATTAAAGTCAAGAAGCAAATCAGCTAAGGAGTTCAGAGAAGCTGTGAAGGAAATTACATGAGAAGATCAAACTGTGCTGTAGATCTTTCAAAAAGTGAAGCATGGTCTAGAGTCTATGAAAAGAAAACTGAAGTTAAAAAAGTGCAAAAGCAACAACTCCATAAACAAATTCATTTTCAGATTGACCCATGTAGGCCTTGCTGAATAAACTGTTCTTAAAAGAAAATAAAACTCACTGTGAAATAAAATGGTTGAATCCTCTGCACCATTTTTCAGGATGTAGCAAAGTAGGAGGAGGATTTCTGAAAAAAAAAAAAAAAAAAGAAAGTTTTGAGGTTTAAAATGTTAATGTTTACTGGAATTATCTCACAGATATTCAACAAAGATGATACTGGTTCCACTAGGGAGAAAATGATGATCACGAAAGGAATGCTCAAATTGTCTATGTGTCCCTTTCAGATGCCTGTTGGGTTTTTCTTGCTGCTGCTTATTCACTGACAGTTCTGTTTTCATGCCCTTCTCCTTTTATGTCAATACCTTTGAAGTCAGTAGTCAGTATAGCCCAGAGTGTGCTTCCCAACATTTCCCTTTCAATTCAGCCTGACTCAGGAAGGATCACCTGAAACTGGAATATTACCTTTGCCACCACAACACTTTAGCCCCTTACCCCAGATCACTGACTCTGCCCTAAACTTTCTTAATTGTGGTTAACTTCTTTGTAAGAACTGCCAAACTGTCAACAATCTGTAGGATTTTCAGTCTGGATTTCAATCTGCATTCAGTTTGGATGACACTAAACTCTACAACTGTTAAAAACAGATGTTATTTTTAAAGTGACATTTAGCAGACAGTATTTTTACATTATGTAGTAAGATGGCCTTCCATAAGAATAATCTTTAAAACTCTGATGGATTCCATGTTAGTTGGCACATAATTACTTTCCTTTCTGATTGTTACCGTTAAATTATATAAACATACAGAGCAAGGCCTATAAGTCATATTAAGTGGACCAAATTTTAAGTGGCTCAAATTTAAGTGGACCAAGCTATAGCAGGAAGTGCTCACAAATCACATATCATACCATACTACGTTAACTTCCAGAGGTTTCTTCCACAACTTAAGATTTGATAACTACTGAAGTTCATTTAACTTTTTAAGATTAAACTTGTGTTCTATGAAACCTTAATGATTTGTCTTTTGCTGTGTTTCAGGCTCAGTGCAAAGGGTCACATATTACTGAACTGGCAGGAAAAAAAAAAAAAAATCACAGTAAGACTTATTCTACCAGAGAAACACTCACTAATATTCTGGATTGTATCATGAATCACCTCGTTTATAACAAGGCCACATTCCACAGCATGACACTGCTTGGAAACAACTCACAAAACAAAAATGCAAACAGCATAAACAACATAAATTAGTGCTGATCTGCTTAGTAGTCTTGAATTATTCATGCATATTCATTCAAAGAGTATTTCCATTTAACAATTACCCTCAAAAATCCAAACAAAGTGGTTTAAAAAAATACAATGTGGCTTTGTAATAGATGGACCATTTTTGTTCACATGTAGCTATACAAAACAAAATGAAGTCATCTAATTTCACTGTAGGCTGACATGTTTTCTGAGATGAATATGTTATCACTTTTCTCTTTTGTTACAGAAGACTCAGGGAACACAATTTTCTTCATGAAGTGAAGAAATCCAGAATGTTTGAGATGTCACCTCTTATCAAATTTATCATTCGGAAAAAGGTATGATTGGTTATTTTCAATGACAATAACATTTCAGGGTTGTCTTCCATTTACCAGGCTCATATGTTCATGTACCTCACAGAATCTGATTTTTTACAAGCATAAAAAGAAACCATAGGAAAGTATTTTAGAGACACTCTAAGAAAAAAAAAACCCTCTCTATCAAAGAAAGGTAAACTTTAAAAACCTCTTTCTCTATAATGAAAATGGTTATCAGTCCACACATCCCACATGCATGAACTCTGCAAACAGCTTCAAAGGACAGCCAGCTGGGGTTAGTATATGGTTTTAGTCTTAATTTTGCAGGAATCTGATGATTTGGATTCTGATAAGACCAACTTTTATTATACTGGGAAGTACAGTGTGTTTATTTTTAGAATGATACCAGCACTGTCTACTGAATATTTGCTGTGAAATTTTGAATTTCACTGCAAAGTAATTTGCTTTTTCAAAAGCTCAGTTACTATTCATGAAATATGTAGTTTTGTCTTTTCTGTTTGCACTGTTCTTAATGTTTTTCCATGGTGGTAGCAACAGTGCTTACAAAAAGCATATGGTTTGGAGGCTCTATTAATAATCTTACAAGAAACTTTTTGAAAAAAGACACAGAGATACTTCCATTAGTTGCAGATGTTATGATGGAAACAGGTGGGACTTCATCATGGAAGAACAGACCAGCAGAGCAGATGTCATTCAGGAAATACATTTAGTTATTTCCAGGTTAATGATTAATGGAGAAAGTCATACTTTTAACCACATAGAATATATTTTGTTCAATTAAGCTCTCACTGACAGCTTCTCTCTTAAATGTGGCGAAGTATGCCATGTACCAAATTAACACAATCAAGGAATCTTGAGCTTGATACTATTGTATTTGTTGACAGAAGATACTATGTTAGTCTTAGTGCCTTTGTAGTAAAAGCATAGAACTAGTGGTCCTCTGTATTTAAGTCACTAAACTGATGCTTCAGGTACCCCGTCTATAAAATTGAGCTGATAAACATGACCAGAAGCCAAAGCCATTACCATCTGTAAAGTACATTGGTTCCCCTTGATGAAAGACTACAAAGTACAACTGTGTACAACTAAGTACAACTAGTACTACTGTGAAAGACTGCTTAACTACAAAGTACAAAATTGGCTCACCCTTTTCTGTCATCATGTCCATAAACAATTTCCAGAAAGGGGCATAAGAGGGTCATCTTCCTACCTTCACTTTGCCTAAGACACCACAAACTGTTTCGTGGTGACAGCAGAGAACACTATTGCTTCCATGGCACTCTCAGAGGTGGATTTCTGCAGTAAGGACTCAAACTCAAGTTCTAGGGTAACACAAAGCCAGATATGCTCACTTTAAGTTTTTTGTGAGGACACTAAGCCTTTAGCAGTTTGAAGTTAATAATCCATCAAGATATCTGCAAGTCATATCCCTGTAATTCATAGCACGTTAAAGAGAAAAGGTAAAAGAACTCACATACATGATCAGATGCTAACCACAGAGAAGCAACACTTGCCTCACCACTTCAGCTCAAAGATCAAACGAGGGCCATTCGCAATTCCAGACTATATTAAATCCACCATATGGAGTTTTATGGCTTTTGTATACCTGCATCAACCAAAATCACTGCATTTCACCAACATCTGGCTGTTTCTGCAGTACTCGGAACACTTTCATAGAAAAACTAAAAAGTTACCTCTTGTTAACTTGCTGACATAACTTAATCTACTCTTTTCATATAAAATTAGAATGCTCTGCATGCAACCTTTCAATCATCCTTGCCACATATATGAGAAACTGAAGGACAATATAGTCTTATTTTCTACTATAAGTGATGGAAACTGTGAGAAGTAGATATGAATATCACTGCAAAAAGTGGGTATAATTGGGCTTGTCTTTTGAAAATGTCCTCTTTTGATGCAAGATGAGTAATCAACCATTTATTTCCCTTTTTCCTTTCGTTCTTTCTATAATTCATAATTAGTCACAGAACTACATGCCCTATTTCTTTAGGCAGATGCATTGCTCTTGTGAGGAGTTTTTCTACCCTTGTATTCAGTGCTTTCCATGGTCTTAATGATGCTGTTTTTCACTGGGAGTTTTGCTTCAGTGAGGACTGCAGGGTAGAGCCTGTACAAGATACCCCATACAGGAGTACAAGGTTCCTTAGAACATAAAGACATTAGCAAGCTTATCAAGCACAAACTGCTGCTGAATTCTGAATGATACACACACAGTTATGTGCTGGAAATATTTTAATCTGTTGGGCTTTATGTGTTCCCTGTCATTCAGCCTGCCTCCAAAGTCACAGCTGGTAAAACAAAATTGGTCATTTTACCACAATAAGGCCAATGATGCAGCTCAGCGAGCACCACTCGTCCTTTATGTTAAGCTGCAAGCCTAATCACAGATCACAGTCAATAGATATTTGTTGGCAATGAGAAAACAAATATTTTCATCTTAAAATACTTCTATGACAAATTTTAAAAAATTGAAAATGCATCTACTATTTTTTAAACTATTTCAGTGAACACAGCCATACATTTTATAAACAGAAATCAAGACAGGGCCCCCAATGACCAAATTGCACCATCAGCCTACCACATTGTTTCTAATGAGAAATTAGCAGATGAACATCCAACACCTGTCACCATGAACAGGCTCTGGCAATCCCAGCCCCATACATGCACGTTGTGAATTATTTTTCTAGCAGACTGAAGAGACAATAGTTCTGTTGACAGTTGCCTAGGTTTACACATAGACAGTTTTACATTAAATTAAACCATCCATGCTTATTTCAAAAACCTAAGTGAAATAGCCATAGAAAAAGCACAAAGTCAACCATGCATAATAATGAGATTTCCCTATGAAAGGTTACGTAAAACAAGTGGTTTCTATTAAAATACATAAATAATTGACATTAATTAATACCTGATAAATCCTCATACAAGTTTAAAGTCCTGCCACTCCAGAGCATCCCCGCATTGGGTAATACTCCAAAAATAACCAGGCAATTCTCGACAGGGCTCAGAGGATTTCCTAATGCCCTCAGTTTGTGGCCCATTCAAATCAATAAGAGCTCTGTTAGTTTAAGATAGAAACTGAAGAGTTTAGGTGCCTCCAGGAGCGGAGAATTAGCACAGAATCCTGTGGAAGGATATCTACAAAATAAGGGACATGTGAACAATCCAGCCTTTCCAGAGAACCTGAGCTGGGACATACCGGAACTGCTGAAAGCATAAACAACTTCCGGTGCAGGGGGCATGAACATCTTACAGGTGCAGGAGAAGAGACAGCCGCCATTAACGACGCAGTTTTAATTTCTTGAAGAAGATGGGTGTGAACATTTGTGAATGTGACTTGAACATGACTCGCAATGTGGCCAATCATGTTGGACTATGGGCCATTATCTGCGATGAAGCCAATCATTATTTATTGGGTGTGGTCAAGGGTTATAAATTGCACTGGAAACACGGAAATAAAGGTTCACTTGTTAGATCACATTGATCGTGTCAGTGTCCTCACTCAGCTCCCGCAGAATCCTCCCTGTA